GACGTACACACACACACACACACACACACACATACACACACAAGCACATGCACACACACTTTGATGCCTTCTCAGGGTATACGATTCTACAGCTGTGGCACAAATTTGGGGAAAGCAAAAGAAAGCCCATGAAAGACTGATGTTAAGTACAAGTATCTACACCCAATCCCCAACAGACCCTACTAGAATGGGGGCTCAGAAAATTATGTTGAGTTATAGACAATAGAAGGTTATAGCTCTAGTATATTTGAATTTATGGGTTGATATTCACATCTACCATACTAGTTAAAAAATGTTATATTGTAGGGATACGTGTAGCTATAATGATGATCATTAAAAAGTTAAAGCAAACAAAATGCAAAGTCCAAATGTTTGATTAACTCAATTATAACATATGTACATGCATACAAAAGCTATTCAACTATTTAAAATATTATTTATGAGATTGCTTAATTATATAAAGATGTCCAAAATATACTGATACGAAAATACAAATTATGAAATATTATGGAAAGTATGATCCAGTTTTGAAAGAAAAATATGTACAAAGGCATAAAGAATATATACAGTTGATCCCTGAACAACACAGGGTTTAGGGGTGCTGACCTCCCACAGTAAAAAATTTATATATAACTTCAGCTTCCCCAAAACTAAAAAGCCTACTGTTCGGCACCTGGGTGGCTCAGTGGTTGAGCTTCTGCCTTTGGCTCAGGCAAAGGGCCTGGATTCAAGTCCCACATCAGGTTCCCTGCAGGGAGCCTACTTCTTCCTATGTCTCTGCCTCTCTCTCTGTATCTCTCATGAATAAATAAATAAAATCATTAAAAAAAAGCCTACTGTTGACCAGAAGCCTTACCCATAACAAAGTCAATGAACAAATATGTTGTATATTATAAACATTATATACTATATTACTATAATAAACTAAGCTAGAGGAAAGATAATGTTATTAAGACAATCACAAGGAAAAGAAAATATATTTACAGTATTGTATTTATTAAAAAACAATCCGTGTACAAGTGGACCTGCACAAGGGTCAACTGTATTACATGAAGGACTTGTGTCTTCCTTTAAATTTTTCTTCAATTACCAATGATCTACAAAATAACAGGTTTCTAAAAATAAGAATACAATAAAATTATAAAATAAGATGCAATTATTTTATGCTTTACACTGAAATAATCCTGCACATTGCTTTTATGGACAAGCTTAGGAAGAGAAGGCTCCTCCCCTTCTCTCACCATTTTGTTGATATGGTGACTGGGATAGTCATTCCTTCACCTGGCAGGCTATTGTCAAAATGATGCTTAAAACAAGACCAAAAGCTGGAGAAAAAGCAAGACAATAAAAATATGAAAGAACTGAAAATAAGAAAAACTATGCATAATTTGGGATGAAGAAAAAAAAGACAGTATCTTTACATTTTCTTTTTTAGCAGAATGTCTTATATAAATACTTAGCATATAGTGAGTGACCAAGACTAAAAAGCCAAATGAAATTGTCTAGCACTCTTGAATATTAAAAAAGGCAAAAAAAAGGCAAAGGAGGCTATAGATTATGAATCTGATACATTTTCTTAATAAAATATTGGTTGTGTAGATTACTAGATACCAGAATAGATGGGAATTTACATATTGATTATATAACAATAACATATTTCTAGTCTACATTTGGAGGACAATTAGACAAATAGATGCAAAATGCATTTGAACAAAACAAAAATTATAAATATAGCAACTTAATTTGAATTGTGCTGCATATTGAAAGTACATGAACTAGTTATTTTTTAGTGCTTTTCTATTTTTAGTAACAAATATGATAATCAAAGTAGGTTATTTGAAATCATGCATTATTATTCAGCACTTAAATACTTGTCTCTTGACAAATTAAGTTATAGTAATGGGAGATTAATTGCACTATGAATTCCACATATTATAACTTGAAATTCCACTTAGAAACTCATTTATTTGTTCTGATAAAATTGCTTTCCTTTCAGCTATTTCCTCAACACTGAAAACAAACATGGAAACAAACATCTCATTCTTTGGTCTAGTCCATCTTTTAAAATTGGACTTACCCTCGGGGATGTCACTGAGGCTGTTTCTTTGAAGAATTAACAGCTTTAGACATGGAAGCCTATTTCTCAAGTGGCTTCTGTGGTGTTTCCCCCACGAGGACTTAGCACTGGGTAGATCCAACGAGATGGAGTGGAGGGAACTGTTGCTGAGGTTTAGTATTTCCAAAGCACGGAAGTGTGCAAGAGGACTTAAGGTGATGTTCGAAATGAGATTGTTACTGAGGTCCAGATGTTTTGTATTCCAGTCTTCTCTTCTCATAGGAGACTGTAAGAGAACCCTAAGGAAACTGGCACTTGAGTCCACTGTGGCCGCTGCCTGCGGTGTGTCCGCAGGTACATCATGCTTTCCGGTAAAAGAACAATTTGTCAGAAGATGCCCATTCCATCGGCACTCAGATTTGAATAAAATACTGTTTTCTCTGGGTGGGTTGGTCATTGTTCCACTAAAATAAAGACTTATTAGCATTGTTATGACTCTGAAGTGTAGGTTTTTCATAATGCCTAGAGAAAGGAAAATGAATTGATTTATTCAAAATAATGTAATAATTAACAACAAAGGCGCAGAAAATTCAATTTTCAATTTAAGATTTAGGAAAATTATCTTGCCTTGATTGCCAGCTTAAGTGCATGTTTGATTTCTTAGAAACTGGGGCATTAAATGTAGCTAAAAATTGGTAAAGCTACAGGGTGCCTGGGTAGCTCATAGCTCAATCTGTTAAGCTTCCGCCTCAGCTCAGGTCAGGATCCTGGGGTCCCACCAGGGTCAGGGTCCCTGCTTTAGTGGAGAGTCTGCTTTGCCCCCTCCCTCTGCCCCTATGCTACTACCTCGTGCTTGTGCTCTCTCAAAGTCTTTTAAAAAATGGTAAAGCTATAGTATACAATTACATTTATGTCATTAAAGAAAGAAATCCCCTGATTTTTCAGAAAATACATATTCACTTGGGCCTCACCTCGTGTCTGCTGTTCCAGGAATATTCACTGGGCAGTCTGCTTTGGAGAGAAACCTACCAAGATTAAAGACTTCTCTGTTTTCTTACTGGTCATTAGTACTGAGCAAAGTCTATTATGCTTATCTACAACCTGTAATCAGCTACGTGGTTTATTATGTGAGTGACAAGCCAGCCAGTTACACTAAACTGTGAACTGTATGGAGGGAAGGTTCAATTCACAAAGGAGACTCTTGATTTTTTATAAATAAATTTACATTTTTTGTGACTTAAAACTTTGAATTTAGTATATATACAACGTGGGTCATAAAAAGGATGTTCTGCATCAGAACCATAAAGATATGATACAGAAACATCAAGTATCTTTTTCATCAAAGATGGAGAAGCAATCGAAAATTTTAAAATAAGTATCTACAATGGCTGAATGTATACGCAAAAAATTTTAAAAGAAAATGGACAGTAAACTTGCCAAAAGACTGTAAGCTCCCAGAAGAGTCAGGTTTTCCAAATACACACTCACACACACACGTAAATTTTATATAGATACATAGGAAGTTCAACTCACAAGAGACTTAATTTTTTTAAATGACTAGAACTACATATATATGTATATATATATATATATATAATATGTATATAAAATTCTTCTCCCATGTTTAATATTTTCAATAGTCTGTAGTCTATCTTAGGGCTATGCTATTTGGATGAAAAAATGCATGGAAAGAATGAAATTTAACATGTAACTTTTAAACTTTGGTTTTATACAAGGTCAATTCTGCTACATTTTGAAGGGCACCTAAATCCAGGTACACATGGCCATGGACCGTAAAGGTGCCCTACAGTGTGGAGGAGTGATTTATTTTTATAGTGTGCCTCTTACACAATACCAGAACTTGAAATTAATTTGTACAGCCAGAAAGATATTTGTTTCTATATTCAAAACTGCAATCATTATAAATATAATTGTATACCAAGTTAATTTTAATATGAACCAAAAAATGTTGTCATCATTCACAGGCACATTAGTATGCAGTATTGAAGAGAAACATATGATTGAAAAATACTTATGGGGGCCGAAGTTAAAGATTTTCATTGACCTAGTTCTTTTTAAGTTGAAGAGATTTATACATTTAACTAACAGATTTGAGTTAAAAAAGTAGGTAAGATAATTTTAGGTCTTTTTTAAAGAAAAATTATGTATACTACATACAAACTTTTATGTACTAGGTAAAAAACCCCTGAGAACTCCAGAAAAACTTTCTAAGGAAATCAGGAAACATTGGGTAAAATGTCAGTCTTTATATGGACGCATATATTCAAGCCTAAGTATGAGGAAGCAGTTAGAGATATTGGGGGGGTGTGTGTGTGTGTGTGTCAGAGAGTGAGAGAGATAGGGAGAAGGCAGTAGAAAAAAACCCAGAAAAGCACAATAGAAACCAAGAGGCCATTCATTCTTCTATAAAAGAGAAGTTATAACAATTAGAAGAAAAAAGCAGAAGGGGGTTATGTTTGGCAAGATGCAGGAAGAACACAGGAGTAACAGTTTCTAAGGCATACCTTTATGGTCCTTAGGTCCTTTTCAAATGGGTCTCTGTCTAGATCTAGCCAGGTGGGGATTTAGACCTGAGCCTCTGAGGCTCCACCCGTCTGCCCCCGGAGCCTGCCCGTCCCTGGCAAACCTTCGCCCTTTCCTCTTCCAGGCTCTGGCCTCTTGCCACTGTGACAGCACGCACATTCCCCTGAGACACTGAGGGAGGAGCCACTAAACAGGGAGAGAGAGTCTGCAATGCACAGAAGGCAGGACTATCCCAACAGGAACAACTGTACAGCTTCGAACTACGATCGCCACGACTCCAGACAGATTACATAAACACCCACGTAGTTAAGGATCACCAAGCTGTATTTAAATACATCATGCTTGTATGATTAAGAAGACACCTGTGCTCAAGTTTTTAACCATTAAAGAGCCAACAGCAAACAATTTATGGAGTCTTTATTGTAAACAGAGATCATTAATAGTTATTACAAATTGAACAAACTGAAACTCAGGTTAACAATCTGAAACGAGTTATAGGTTTATTTTTATATGCCATAATTTGTAGTCTTTGCCCTCTCAACACTTTTTAAGACTACTGAAATTATCAGCATTTCAATAGTCTCTTTTTTGTCAAGTTTAGCACCAGAACGTTCTTATCCTCTTAAAAAAAAAAATTCATTCGAAACTAGGTGGAACTTTCACTTTTCATCATCAAAATTATCACACAAAATGTATTTCATTTTTTTCATAATGCAGAAAGAACACAAGTAGGTATATTTTTAAATCTTGCAGACCGTGTATAGGCAGTCCCCCCTTGCGTTGTTTCGCATTTTCCTAGCTGCCCATTGGACGGTTTCTGAAATGCTGTTTTTATTTCACTTGTCCCCTTGTCATTGCAACCTATCTGGGAAGTACTGGGGTTATTTAAGCAAGCATGTATCCACCCCGCTCTCCTGGGATCCTGTCTTTGCCTGTCTACCTTCCCCGAGTCTGCTGCTTATCATATCTGTGCTCCGAGCAGGGCAGGAACAGCCAGCAGAAAGGGGCAAAGTCACCATTTCAGTTTTTGAGAAATACCATCTGGTGATGAGGATGAGTAGCTGAAGCTTTACCATTATGCAAAAACGGATCACAGGTGAAATGGACGGTTTGTTCTTCATCTCATTTTCAGTGAGTGTTCCAGGTCTACACATCAGTGAAAAGGCAAGGGCTACCTGCACAGTGTCCTAAAATACAAGACCTGTTACCTTTACAATCAGTTCTATAAAAACATCAAAATATCCTCTCGTGTCAAAAGCACTTAATGGAGATGTATCAAAAACACAAGTATTTCTCAAGGAGGAGTAAAAATAGATTGCTTCATGAATTATATTCAATAAATAATACTTTGTAACAGCATTTTGTGGTTTTTACAAAAATATTTAAAGAGACTTTCAGAACAAATCTAAATAGAGCAGACAAGTAAAGAATGTAAAATTAAAGATATACTAAGCATCTGAATGAAAATATCAATGGGTTTTTTTGAATATCATTCAAATATTAAGTGACACTGATTATATTCAACTAGGATCTGAATATCACATCAATTAATAGCACTCAGCGGTCATAAAGTTCTTTCTTTCCTTCATTTAAAAACTGCACTGTTAGATAATAAGTCGATCTGTTAGTTTAATGATTATTCATAATTTCTAAGGCATTTGGTTGTTCTATCAGAGAGAACTGTGACTGTATTGAATGCAGATTGTTTTTTGTATTGATTTTCTTATCTACACTGTTCTAAGTGACCACGACAGGATACTGTTATACTTGAATGCAGAGTGGGGCTTATGATTTATCTCTACTGCTTATTTTGCAGCAAACTATGTTGAAAACACCTGCCCCTGACGCTGTGTGTATGATTAATAGTATCAGAGAATTCCTTTTAAGTCAAATATAAAATACATTAAAAATCAACCGGCTGGAGGATTGTAAATTGTTACAATGGGATTGTGATAAGGAAGAGCAGAGATCAGTTCTCATACGTACTCAAAATTTACTTAAAAATTATTTCCTGTATCAGCACCCTTTACTCCAGTGCTTCCCAACTTTGTTCAAGGCTTGGCAAACACTAAAATGGGTACTGTTTAAATGGCACCCTGGGGTAAACTTACCAACCACTCCCAGCCCCGAGGACTTGCCTGGGGGCCACGGCCTCCCACATCTCACTGCGTCACCCAGAGGGCTGAGGGTATAAATATCTTAGGAACGCTTCCACCCAATTCAGGTACTCCAAGGGGCCAAGGCCCACTGGCTAGGAAACTGGACTAACCTATAATGAGGCTAATTTGACCTCTCTATAGTGTAATATTTTGGAATTGGCTTAAGCTAGTTTAAAACCTGATTATAGCAGCTAGCCATTTTTTGGACATGAGATTGGTTTTTTTTAGAGTAAGCATGACTGTTTGATTTGAATCTTCTCTGCTTAGGGGAGTTTGAATTAGTCGTTTCCATTTTTCTAGAGTTTTAAGTATTAAGACTTCAGCGCAAATAGTAAAAAGAACACAGTATTTGGAAACAGGTACATACAGGCTTGAATCACATGTGAATTCCAGTCCCAACCTGGCTATCTCCTATGTGACATTACTTAAGTTTCTTAACTTCCTAATGGGTAATACTAGGGTAATACCACAGACATACAGAGCTGCGGGGAGAATTAAGAGATATTACACATGCAGCGCCTGGGACAGTGCCCAGGATGTGTAAGATGCTCAGTAAATGACAGCTATCATTATTATTTCATAGTTAAAGCTGAGACTGTGTTTCAATTTTTTACCACACTGTGAACACTTCATACTTAACAATATTTAACAGGTAAACATTCTTTACAAAGTGTTTTCATACTAGTGTAAAACTAAGAAACCATGGTTTCTTACCAGCTTACAAATGTGAAGTTCTCTAATGACTTCACTTGCATTGAGAATATAGCTGAAAATTAATGCACTAAAAATCTATCTTTCCTCTTAGAAGCCCAAAGACAGAACGTGCAACACATATTAACGGTGTACCTTTCAAACATCTTAAGTGGGTGTATCCCCATTAGTTACCAAAACTTACTTATAGTGAGTCTGAACAGTTGCTGCAGCCCTTTATCCTTTTAGAGACAAGGGACAGTGGAATTTTAAAAACACTTCTTTAAAGATTAATTTTGGTTGTATTCACTTCTGATAATTAGTTTAGAACTCTAATTTGAAGATCAGTGCAACTTAATGAAATGTATTAAAATTTAGGCTGAGAATCTTTTAAAATATGGAGATTGTAGTATAGGTACAGTAGTGCTCTGTAGATAAAATAAGAGTGACTGCAAACTCCCTAAAAACATGACTTGCATGCACACTCTTAAGAAAAAAGTCAAGTCAAGGTATGAACACACTGGTAACCTCTCGGGTTCTTCTAGTGAGTGTTTCCACAGGGGTTGTCTGAGGTCTGGCAGCCCATGTTCTGGCCTGTTACTTGTACTTTGAAGAGAGTTCCGTCTGCACACATACAGAGCTTGTAGCGCACCCAGTCACTGGCACCAAACTGGTCTCCGCTGGAGGAGCTAGGTAGGCGAGTTGTGCTGACCATCACAGTTCCATTTAGGATGATGCTGTTTTCCTATCAGGAGAGTAACAGATAATAGTATGATTGATTTGCCTCTACAAGTGGTGACAGGACGAGATGAATACACAAAACTTAGAATGTAAACAAAATAGGTAACGAAAAACAGTAAAGTCATGACCAAAACAACAACAAAGGAAACTAAAACCAGTGTCGAGATTCAGCTAGTGACCTCTAGTTCATAATGTGTATTGATACCTAATATTCATCAATCCTACCTGCATGAGACTGATAGAGATCATTTGTTACTTCCTAAGAGTTTTTACAAAGTTACTGACTGGTACATTTCTGATGATGTGAAGAAAAAAAGAATTGTTTTTCTCCTACAGAAAATGAATTTTAAAGATCAGGCACTCAAAGAAAGAGAGCCTGAAGGTTCTCTTCTTCAAGCCCACTGTTTCAGGAATATTCTTGTTATTGTGGCCTTTTTCTTTTTGGGTACTCCTAACCCTCTTTCTCCTTTCTTTTTTTTTTTTTCCCCATTCACTCCACAAATAATTATTAAATGTCTGCTACATGTTAGGTACTATTCTAGGTGCTGAGGATACAGCGATCAACAGACAGGCAAGTCCAAGTTCTCATACAGTTGACATTTTAATGGGGAAGGGCAGACAATAAACATGTGAACAGGTAAAATAAATAAAACCTCACTGGAGAGAAATAAGGTAAGCAGAGAGACAGTGAGCAGGCCGGGGCTCTATTTACATAGGGTGGTCAAGGAAGGCCTCTCCGATGAGGTCACAGTGCAGCGGAAATGGGATGACACAAATAAGCCATGTGGGCAACTGGGGAGAGGCACCTGAAGCAGAGGACACAACAGGCCACAGTGTGAAGATGTGCTAGGTGCTTGAGAACAGGTGGAAGCCAGTGTGGCTACAGCAGAAGGCACAAGGGAGTCAACTGGTAGGAGAGGAGTCGAAGGAATGGACTTTGAATTTTATCCCCAGTTAGAGGAGAAGCCACTTGGAGGGATATGAATATGGAAGTGATGTCATCTCTGAGGAAGGACTGCTCTGGCTGCTGTACAGGAAACTAACCACAGGGGTGAATGAGGAAGCAGCCAGAGCGCTTAGGAGGCCGTTCCAACAGTGCAGCAGGACACGGTAGTGGTTTATAGCATGGGAGGTGGGGGAGGCAGTGAGAACCAGCCAGGCTCTATCTCTTGAAGGTAGAGCAAGAAGGCTGCTGATGAACTGATAGACACCATTTAATGAGATGGGAACACTGAAAGAGAAGCATGACTGGGGAGGGAGGAAGGGTATGAAGATTTTAGACTTGATAATTTGAGATGCCTGTTCTGTCCTGGAGTGGAGAAGGTTAAGTCGGCGGGGTATGTGAGTCCTAGATTGGAGGAGAGATTAAAGCAGGAGTTCCAAATTTGAGAGTCATCAGGTTACAGAAGGCATTTAAAGCAATAAGACAAAGCTGGGTATGAAGAAATGGAAATAGCTAATGGACTATGCAGTATTAATTAGTATGCATATGGAATAGAATCCCTAAGTGATGAATTTTGAAATTTTGTTCCAATGTTGCCATCTTGTGGTCATTTAATTTTACTTTCTTTAAAACTGCTAAAGAAGTTATTTCTTTTAAAACAGTTTAATTGATAAAATTATTTTTTAAACAAAATTCTTATCATTAGCTATATGCTTAAAAACTAATTGCTGATATTAACTAGATTGTAAAGCTAATTATTTTCAGGACTGGCCTGTTTTTCTTTAACTGTGGAGAAACTGAAACGTATGTATGTGTATTTCAAAGAATCTTAGTATTTCTTTAACAACAGATAGAGTTTTCAGGTACGAAAAAAGAAAAGATTTACATAACTTGCTAATGGCTATATACAAATCTATCACACCTCTTGCTTCTTTGAGTTTCCAGTGCTGAGAACAATAGCCCCACAGTGACGGTTCTTCAACACTATTCTTTTAGAGGAATGGCTTCTTACTACAATACATGCAAAAAATACTCAGTATTGCTATTGAGTTTCTGGCAAGAAACACATTTTATGTCATCTTTATTATTTAGAAATTAGAATGTGTGCTTTAGGGGAGAAAGCTATTTAAGAAAATGGAAAACTTGATTTTTTAAAGAACTATGAAATTTAGTTTTTTAAAGAACTATGAAATTTTTTCTAGAACTATGAAATTAAATTTAGGTAAAAATACAAATCCTTAGGTTTCAGTTTATTTTTGTCACATATGATGCTTGGTAAAATCAATTTAATTAGCTTTAGTTAAGTAGCATATAGCAGGCGACCAAAGGAAGACATTTTGAATAAATATGCTTCAACTAAAATTGTGAGCAGGTAAACCGTTTTTGGACTTCTGGCTCCCTTATATATGTTACCTATTGAAGTTCAGATATAAACTGTGAAGGACAAAACTTCACTTTTCAATAGCTAAAATGAAGGCAAAATCTTTTTCTTTTGTAGTTAATAATAGATGGGTAAATAAAATACATTTCTTACATCTGCTAATTGATTTTCACATCACTGGATATAAAACTCAGTAAAGGATATGGAAAATCTTTAAGTGAAAAAAAAAAAAAAAACAAACCCCAACAACTTCAGGGAATGGACACTACTTTGATAATTCTTACTTTGAAAATCTTCCAGAATTCTGGAAGTTTATTCATTTTTGCTTTTTAAAATAACAAAGGAATAACAAAGGTATCATTTTGTAAAAAAAAAAAAAAAATTTTTTTTTAGAAAACAAGAGGCAAGCAGAAAGAAAAATTAAGTCACCTGTTACCCTGCTACCCACAGCCAACCACTGTTGACATCTGGCACACCCTTCCAGGTTTTTATAAACGTACTCATGTTTTGAAAAATAAAAACAAGATATTTCACAAATTGTAACTCTCTTTCACTTCCAGGTCAAAAAATATACAACTATAGTACCATTTTTAATAATTGTATACTATTCTACATATAGATTCATGTGCCCAAGAATCTAATAATTCTCTTAAAGTCTTAAGGAATACTTACTGCCTTCAACTCCATATTACCACCCATGTGAAATTCAATGGTTTTGCCCATAATGAATACGCCTTCATTTCCACGCACAATAGCACGCCCATCAACCTTTATATTTAAGTCACTAGTAGCATTGCTGGTAATCTGAAAATTAAAAAAAGTAATAAAAAGTGTTTCTAAATTAAAGTGAAAATTATTAGAGACAGAAACAGGAGTTTCAGCCATAGAATATGAAAGGCAAAGGTTTCCTGTCACGTTTTATAGGTGTTGAGACAGAGAGATGTGGCATGATAATGATCAGATTACAAATCCAGAACTAATCAATCCTTCCCACTGTTCCATAATTTATGCTTTCCCGTCACTTATAAAACAGCAAAACTCCCCTCCCGCTTTATAAATTTAGACAGCAATTCTCTTCCATTAATAAAGCAAACAAAATAAATCATACCCTTTCAGTAGACGCTTTTTGAACGTTCAAACTTTTCACTCCACTTGGCAAATGAAACTCATGAGTTTCATAGTCTGTGCTGAATAAGATATTCTGAGTCCTCGGGTCAAAAAACTGCATACCAATGTCACTCGTAATAGAAGTTTTGTTCTTTTCTACACTGAGCTTTGTTGTCCCTTGCTGAAAGACAATCTTCAGAAAAACACTTTATCATAAGTATGTTTTCAAAGGAGACTGCAGCCAAAATTCATCAAGAACATTACCAAAAACACTTTAAAATAATAGACTAACTTCAAAGAATTTTAACTGCATCGGTCTGTCTCCTCTCTATCCACTTGGGAAGAATTCTTTAAAAAGAGGGCTTATATGCTTGTTTGCTTACACTGCTCTGCACAAATCCATGGGTCACATGGGCAGGAGGTGGTAAGAACACCTTTAGGTTCTATGTCATTGAAAACCTATACTGCAGCAGCCATGGGGCACAGGCTGCCATGGACTAGATTGGCATATTCTTCTCTAGACTCCCAGAAAGTACAGGGTATCCCAACCTGGGAAGGTGCTTTGTTTGCTGGCTATTTTGTGTGGAGGAGATAGAAGATATTCTGTATTCTTAGAATAATTAATCTGTATTAAGAAAGCAAATAACAAAAAAACAAAAAAACAAAAAAAAAAAAGCAAATAACATTAATGGATTATAAGACCCGCAGTATTATTAAATGTGCTGATGAATATTCTCTCAAGGAAAATATCCATTTCCAATAATCAACTCTAGTTTTTTAACAAGGAAAATTTCTCTACTGTCCCTTGACTAAAGTGGTAACTTACAGGCTGGTTGTTGCCGGTGATAACCAAATTTTCATTTCGCCTTCCTCCCACCGTGCTCTTGTAAAGAGGATGTATAACTCCCATGTCAGATACTTGCTTAAACCGAAGCAGGCCACTTTCATGAAACTCCATGCTGTCACAGCCATTTGGTCCAATGCGAATCACAGCCCAGATAACAAGTGTTATCTAAAAAAGAAAACAATCCCCTGCGAATGGGTAGCATACATTCAACATAATTAGAAAACAAACAGAAGATAATTGCCTAAGCATTAAACTTCCTGAAATGTCTCATCAGTGGTATGATCAGTTGGTTTTCCACTTATAAACAGAACCAGTTTTATTTTTATCACGTATTAGAGGCAAATAGCTAAAAGTCAAAAAGTACTACAAGAGCAGTTTCTTCTTCCTTTTGCTCCCTCTACATCTCGTCCTGGGACAACCACTTTTAGGTATTTCATCTACAATTTATCCCAGATTTTTAGGTGATATATTATTTCTTCACACATCAGTTTGAGGTTTTATCTATTATTTTCATACTTTAGCAGATGAGAATTTATTGTGTTTCTATTTCTGAAATGGAAATAGGTTTCAAGTGCTGGCTAGATTAGATCCAGGTTCAGTATTTTTAGTATTGTAACCATATAAGTACTGTTCATTGCTAAGCCAAATACTGTAACTAAGAGAGCAGTTCCTTTCTTGTACTCTGTGTCTTGTGGTTTCATAGTCTTCTTCTTTTTTTTTTGGCACTGGACCAAATTTGCTTACTCAAATTTTGCTCAAGTTTCCATTTGAAAACTTGACTGAATTTTTTCAAAACCTCCCATGTTTCTGTAAAATGCCCCCTTGATAAAATGTTCTAAAAGTCCAAACCTCTTTAACAATTTTTTCTATTAATTTTTCTCTCCCAGGAGATCTTGCTGCAACTCTGATCTTCTTGCTCCAATCTGGGTGGTCACTGCTGGGTCGGCTACATAACTGTAACCGTGAACTTGTCCTTCATTTTCATGCTGGAACTTCCTTCTTTCTCCTGCTCTAGATAGATACTGTTTCCTGTATCCTTGTCTTCAGCCTTCTGGGAGTTAGCTCCTTCTTGTGGTGAGCACCTCCTCCAGTGGCCTCCTTAGAAAAAATATATGCGAAGTAAAATTTGAGAGTATATATGGTTTAAAAATGTCTTTATAAGCCCTCACATTTAACAGTCGAGCTTGATAATTTCTAGGTTTGGTGCTATTCTCTCTCTGACTGTTGAAGGCCCTTGTATTCTTGCTTTCTGGTCTCCAGGGTTGCATTTGAAAAGTCTGATGCCTCTGATTTTGTATTCTTCATATGCAACCTTTTTTTTTTTTTTTTTTACTTCCTCTGGAAGGTTTTAAGATCTTCCCTTTAAAAAAAAAAAAAAAAAAGATCTTCCCTTTATCCCAGGTTCTCTTAAATTTCACAGTAATGGCCTTGGTGTGAGTCTTTTTTGTGCATGACACTGGACCTAGAATGGTAGTTTTCAATCTGTTCTAGGAAACTTTCTTGGTTAATTTATTTGGTAATTTTCTCCCCAGTGTTCCTTCTTATCAATCTGTGAAACTCCTATTAACAGAATGTTACACTTCCTGGACTGATTCTTTAATTTTGTTGAGCTTTCTGGACGGGTTCCTTTTCTTTATCTTCCAATCTCTCTCCTCTTTCCATCTATCCATCCATCCCTATATTTCTTTAAGTTCTTCCTTATTCCTTAATTGCTCCTTTTTAATGGCATGTTATCCTTGTTTCATGGAGGTAATATCGTCTCATTTCTCTGAAAATACTGATTTTCATTTTTTAAGTTTTCTGTCATTCATTCTATTTTCTGTATCTCCCTGAATTCCTAGTTTCCCCACGGTTTGGGTGATTTGGTGCTCATCATTTTTCAAATCTGGGAGCTTTCCAAAAAACTCCATTATCTCTGATAGCTCAGTGTTCATATTTAACAGTAAGGTTTAAAAAAGTGCACAGAGGGATCCCTGGGTGGCGCAGCGGTTTGGCACCTGCTTTTGGCCCAGGGCGCGATCCTGGAGACCCGGGATTGAATCCCACGTCGGGCTGCCGGTGCATGGAGCCTGCTTCTCCCTCTGCCTGTGTTTCTGCCTCTCTCTCTCTCTGTCATAAATAATAAATAAAAAATTAAAAAAAATAAAAAATAAAAAAGTGCACAGAAAGTTCTCTGTGTGGGGTGGTTGTGACAGACAGGCTTCACAGTAGGAGAGAGGGTGGCTGTCTCACTGGGACCTGCCAAGTGTCAGTATCTACAGATTTTTTTCCCCAGATGCTTCAGTTTTTCTGGAGCAGACTACTTCATCTCTTGCCTCAAGGACATAAGCCTGGTGCCAGGGAGCTGGAGTCAGAGGATGAGAAGAGAGCTGGGAAACGGGAGTCTCAGTGCTCAGGATTCAGACTTCTCTGCTTCCAGCATGGAAACCCATCCCCCCACCTGCTCTGTGCAGTATCCTCAGGCAGGAAGAATTGTCTCCCTGCCATAACATACTGTGTGGGGTTAGGAGGCATAGTTGCCTAACTGCTGGCTGGAAGGGAGAGTGAGGCTAGGGATCTCAAGGCTCCTACAGGTTTTTCAAAGAAGCTGTTTTCAGTCCTGCCTCAGTCCTGCTTTTCATGGCACTTGTATTTCCAATTCCTGACGATTCTGCAAGGCACTTTCACCAACACGCCCTGCAGCCCCCTCCCCAGCACACATGCAGAGAAATCTGCCATTTCTCGTCCTGCTTCTTTATAGGGCCAAATTTAGGATTTTAGGTGCCTCCCACGTTCTTTCAAGATATTTCTATTTCTTGACATTGTCACCTTGGGATGAGCTTTTTAAAGAAGAAGGGGACAAAAATGTCCCCATTCTGCCATCTTAACCAAAAGTTTCCAACAACAAAAAAATTATAAAATAAAGTCAGAACATGCGCTCTTAGTAAAGCTATTTATAGTATGAACTCTTTTCAATGTAAGGGAAGAATTAGACACAAACGTTTTGAATGTACATAAAATATAAAAGATGGGATTAAAAATATTAGAAGTCAAAAATAAACAAAATGGAATCAAGGTTAGAACCACTGTAGCCCATGATCATCAGTCTTGGGTATACCAATAACCACCCTCTCAATATGTCATCTACACACATGCCAGAGGGGTTCAGGTGTAGCCCTCAGACTGTTACAACCTTGGATTAAGTCTTCTTCTTTAGAAAATCAAGTATCTTTGGAAAAGGCAACATACTAAGTCTTTAGCACCTTAGTGTAAACTGGCCTACCAGGTCCTCCCATTCTTTGACAACAGAGATTTAAGACTACAGATATAACTGTTTGCTGTCAAATAAGGGTTTGCAATTTTAAAATCTGGTTGAGGAGGGACACCTGCGTGGTTCAGCGGTTGGGTGCCTGCCTTCGGCTCGGGTCATGATCCTGGGATCCGGGATCGAGTCCTTCATCAGGCTTCTCCCTCTGCCTCTGTCTCTCCCCTCTCTCTCTCTCTCTCTGTATCTCTCATTAATAAATAAATAAATCTTAGAAAAAAATAAAAAAGAAGAAGAAAGAAAAAAAATCCGGTTGAGAAGGTTTAGGACTAAATTTAGGTTTAGACTGCATGAAAACAGAGAGGATTGTATTTTTTAGGAGAGGTAAAGGCAATAAAGTCATGATGGCAAAGGGCTCTCCTAACCAAGTTGACTCTACCCTTCCAAAAGTTAAGTTCTTTAAAGGGAACTTTCCATGCACATTTTCTTCTAAATAAAATTAATACGTATCAATATTAGCATACTAGGTTTTTAAAATATATGACATATTTAAGACAACTCAATGAGTAGAGGTACAGACTTAGTTATGAAATGAGTAAGTCACAGAGATAAAAAGTACAGCACAGGGAATATAGTCAATAACATCGTAATAACGTTGTATAGTGACAGATGGGGACTACACTTAGAGTACTGAGTAATCTACAGAACTGTCAAATCCCCCTGTTGTACATCTGAAGCTAATATAATACTGTATGTTAACTGCACTTTAAAAATAAATTTTGGGATCCCTGGGTGGCGCAGCGGTTTGGCGCCTGCCTTTGGCCCAGGGCGCGATCCTGGATACTCGGGATTGAATCCCACGTCGGGCTCCCGGTGCATGGAGCCTGCTTCTCCCTCTGCCTATGTCTCTGCCTCTCCGTCTCTCTCTCTCTGTATGACTATCTAAATTAAAAAAATAAATAATTAAAGTAAAAATAAATTTTTAGGGATGCCTGGGTGGCTCAGCGGTTTAGCACCTCACTTTCACCCAGGGCGTGATTCCAGAGTCCCGGGAATCCCTGCATGGAGCCTGCTTCTCCCTCCGTCTGTGTCTCTGTCTCTCTCTCATGGAAATAAATAAATAAATAAATAAATAAATAAATAAATAAATAAATAAATAAATAAATAAATAAATAAATTTATTTATTTATTTTTAAAAAGGCCAGTGGGTCTTTTCTGTAAGTGTGTAAAACACAGAATCTCCTGTTGTTTTTCAAAGTATACATCAGAGGAAAAAACATCTGATAAGGTGCCCTCTTGGTCATGAAAGTAGGAAGACAGGTTTCTGTTAGACAATATATTGGACAGTAGGCAAGTCAGGGGCTCTCTGCACACAGTGTCAAAGGTAATTGTGCATTTAAAAGAACTTAAGAGATAAAACATGTACAGAAAAGCAGAAAGTAAGAGGATTTCAAAAGAAGTTATAGAAACAAAGTCTGCGATTTCACTGAAAAATCCCTAAGGTAATTAAAAGAAGAAAATTCTGTACCATATACTTACAATTAAATTGATGACAGCCAAGATAAACAAGAGGATAATGACACAGATGGCCAGGTTGCCCTTTCTTCCTCTCAATCCCGTTTTATGGAGGCGATCTTCATCAATTGGAATATATCCAGCTTTGAAATTACTATTGTGCTCCTTATTGACATTCCTTCTCTCGACGGCTTTCTCACGCATGGACTTCTTTACAGGACCATTGGAACTTTGCTAAAAACAAAGGACAGCACAGTGGAACCGCCATACTCACTCTTTTCAAGGCATTTATTGATGAAGTGCAAACTCCTAATCAAAGAAAGCTGAACGGGTTAGTGATATATTTTCCATGAATAAACTTTAAGTCACATTGAGTTGCAGGCTCGAAGTCATGACATTACTATGCTTAGAGCGGAGAAGAACTTTTAGTGTGACTATGTGGTGACACATTTCCACCCTCTGCTTTGAATAGTCCTAGTGTGTACAGCTAGCTCACTTGGGGGAAAAGTTGACATACACATTCCATGGTGGGTTATCTTTTTTTAAATTAATGATTTATAGTGATTTATTTTATTATATATATAGATAAATAGAGATTATATAATTTTTTTTCATTTATAGGAATTTGTAAAGGTTGACACATTTTGCTATTTGTCACCGCAACTGGCTAAAGCTGACATTATCCTACATCTGCAGTTTTCAAAGTAAGGGCCGGGGAGAACTGGAGGAACTGCTTCAACGCTTAGAGGAATCTGGAGAGGACAAACTATGTTCAAAATAACACCAAGACGTTATTCACTCTCCCCCTCTCATGAATGTTCAGTGGAGTTTTCCAGAGGCTAAGTGACTGTATGGGATGACATCAATGCTCTAACAGCAAATGGAATATGTGCTTGTGTATTCCTGTGTTTCCAATTTTCTCAGGTTTAATTTCTAATGTGGTAAATATCAATAAATACCAACCCATGTAAACAAAAGTTCTTTGGGATCCTCAGTCACCTTTAAGGGCATAAAGATAACCCGAGACCAAAGAGTTTGAGAACATCTAACTTAAGACTATGGTTGAATAAATAACATTTTTGGTAATATATCATGAACACTGAACGGTAGAAATGGATACTGTCCAACTTACATAGATTTTGGAGCTCTAGAAAAAAATTATTAGACACTTTATGCTAAACACTAATACCACAAATAGGAAATATAGGACAGGATCCTCATTCTCTAGATTTTTATTTATTTTTTAAGATTTTATTTATTCATGAGAGAGAGAGAGAGAGAGAGAGAGAGAGAGAGAGAGAGAGAGAGAGAGGAGAGAGGCAGAGACACAGGCAGAGGGAGACCATGCAGGGAGCCCAATGTGGAATTCGATCCTGGGACTCCAGGATCACACCCTGGGCTGAAGGCGGCGCTAAACCGCTGAGCCACTTGGGCTGCCATATTCTCTAGATTTATACCCAAATATGATTTGGGTATAAAATAGTTAGCAATGCAATAGAGTATTCTGTATGTTTAGGTGCCAGAATCTCAATACTTTGGCCAATACATGCCATGGAGCTCAACAGGAGGAGAGACGGGATGGCTTTGGATGTGTTTTCAACGAAACAAGTAGATGGATCAGAGCTCGTAATAGGGGGGAGAATAAAGTTGCAGAGTAGGGTAGGCTGAGAAAATGTTTGGACTGCTGGGTACAAATCCCAGTCTTTTTGTCTGTTTAACTGGGAATCACTGGAGGTTTGTAAACATGAATGACATATATTTCAGGATGCTAAATGTGTGGATGTTTGTAGGGGAGGAGACAGAAATAAAAGTAAGTAGGCTGTTGGGGATGTTGTCATAATGGAGGTTCGAGGTAATGAGATAACGAGGTGGGATGAAAAAGGATAGATTAAAAATATACTCCGTGAGAAGAGTGGACTGAATTTGCAGCCAACTTCAAAGAATCTCGTGTTTACTGAATGGTGACTAGCTAAATATGGGGAATGAAGGAGGAAGAAGATTCTACATATGTTGCACTTAAACTAAATGAGAAATAACCATATGACTCAAAGGCAAAGGGAAGGATGGAATGGATATTAGATCAGTCAGGACAAGAGATAAAGATTTGAGAGTCCTTAGCCTCAAGGTAAATTAAATTCATGAGAGTACATCAGTTTACTGTGAAAAACTGCATACAGGAAAGAGAACAAAGAGCCAAGCACATAGTCTTGGAGAAATTTAAATGTGCAGCTACAGTGGAAAATGAGAAATACAATGAATGGTAAAAAAACCAAGGATGGGCAGTGTTGCTGAACTTGCTTTGTTCAAAAGTGCTTCCATAACCTTCAAAGAGGAACTCTTCCAGCAAAATGTGAAGCTGGAGGGCAGCCTGGGTAGCTCAGTGGTTTAGCGCCACCTTGAAACCAGGGCATGATCCTGGAGACCTGGAATCGAGTCCCACGTCAGGCTCCTTCTATGGAGCCTGCTTCTACCTCTGCCTGTGTCTCTGCCTCTCTCTGTCTCTCATGAATAAATAAAATCTTTTAAAAAAAATGCAAAGCTGCAGTCTGAAGAAAAAAATGCCACATGTAAACATCTATTTTCCAGTCCAGAAAGAGAAAAGAGGAAAGAGAGAAGACTGTAGCTAAAGAATTATGTACTGTTAGAGGAAACTGTGCTTTTCATGTTGCTGTTAGTAAACCAACCCTCGCCTCCCCACCCCACAATTTGGGGGAAAGACTTGTATGTTTGATGGCAGAAGGAAAGATGCCAAGAGGGGCAAAGACCAAAGACCTCAGATGAGGGCAGGATAATATGGGGAATGAGACTCTTTAAGAAGCAGGAAAGAAAGTGATACAGAGGATATGAGAAAAGAATAGGCTTTAAAGATAGGCTCCCACTTTGGTGAAACAGTTCACACTCAGAAGAGAAAACATTCTTTTTTCTTCGGGATGTAAAAGGAAAGGTCATCTGCCAATAAAGAGTGGAGAGAGCTACTACAATCTTTTTTTTTTTTTAATTTTTTTTAAATTTTTTTTATTTCTGATAGTCACAGAGAGAGAGAGAGAGAGGCAGAGACACAGGCAGAGGGAGAAGCAGGCTCCATGCACCGGGAGCCCGACGTGGGATTCGATCCCGGGTCTCCAGGATCGCGCCCTGGGCCAAAGGCAGGCACCAAACCGCTGCGCCACCCAGAGATCCCGAGCTACTACAATCTTACGGTGGCAGAGGTAGTGGGCTGGTTAAAGCCTTAAGGAAAAATGGAAAAAGATGCGAATAATTATTATAATGTAACAGATACAATTTTTGTAATTCCACAGAGCAGGATGGAAGGCCTATAGAATACAATTCAATCCATCCATCAGATTTTTTTCATAAAACAGGTAGTTGAGTACAGTTGTATAGGTTGTGTCTGCATGAGGCACAACATCTATGAGGGGTACATTGATACTGCAGATGACTCGGAGTGCAATATACATTTTGATACTTTTTGGCTGAAGGTATATGATACCTTAAGGGAGGTATGCTTTCTTCTAATTTTCACAGACACATCATGGGCAATTTTAAAGTCAGAGCTTGAATAAAGGTTTACATAAAAGAAAGGACAAAACTGTTCTCTCCTAGGATGCATTCTTCACTCTTCTTTGCCAATTCATGTCCATTATTATATTCAACTTGACGCATTTATGATTTATTGAAGAGTTACTATATGCCAAATGCTCCAGACCACCAAGACAAGAAGACACAGTGCTTAACCCTCAATGAACTTCCTTATAGGCCAGGAGAGTAGATAGACAGGGTCACTAACAATGGCAGTTCAACATGGCAAATGCACACAATACTGGGAGGGTACAGAAGAGGGATATAACTCTACATACCAAGCAAGGGCATCAGGTGAAGGTTTTTAAGAAAGGCTGAGATTTCATTTGAAACTTGGGAGGATAAATAGAGGAGTTAGCCGCCAGGCAAAAGCACAGAGAAAGGCATTCCAGGCAAAGGGAACAGCATGGAAACCATGAGTACAAGTTATCTCTCTGTGAACCAATTTTGGTAGTTTCTGTGGATGGATGAGTAGGATGAGTACAGCTATGGGGCAAAAAATAAGGTCAGAGATATGGTTAGGGGCCAGTTAAGGGGCGGACATAAGTACTGTGTCAAGAACAATGGACTTTATCCTGAAGGTGATAGGGAACTACTGAAAATCTAAAATAGGTTAGTGATACCATCAGATTTGCATTACAGCAAAATCAAAGACATGTACCAAAAAGAGACAGAAGAGTTTAGAGATGAAGATACATCAAGAGCAGGTTTATCTAACGGTCCAAAGGAGGACTTGACTGAGCTTTACATGAAAAGATGGGGAGAGGCATCAAAAGGAAGAACTACAGAACCTGCTGGCTGATGGGCTGTGTGACCCAGAGGGGATCTAAGATGACTCCCAGGTAGAGACCCGCTAATTACATGTGGAGTATGGAGGAAAAAGAAAACATGGGACCCTTTGTTCAAATGTCACACCTGGGAGAGCAGAGCATGAGAGCAGGTGTGGGTCCCTTCTGAGCTCCCTGGAGCTGGTCCGGCTCTCAATTTTCTAGTGGGGTTAACCTAGCGAATGGATGGTTGGAGCCCTTTTAATGGTAAACACGATGCCATCCAGTTTGTACCTTTTTGAGTTTGAGGAGCCTGTGGGAAAAATTCAGTACAGGCTGAAGACGTCAATGTTTTTAACTCTCAAGTGGAAACTAAGGAATGGACCAGATTACCCAGCTTAGGTGTAAAGTGAGAACGGAACCTTGGCGGCACCTCTGGAGCATCATCAACAGGTGATATGGATGAAAAGAGAACCACCTAAAACAAGAGCTGATAAGCCAGGAGGGAGATCAGGAAAGCCAAGGAACAATTCATTTTAATCTCAGTAACTCCAAGGAGCTTTGTCTCCTTTTACTTTCACTCATTCCTTTATAGTTTTTGTTTTCCTGCCACCATTTATAGCGTGCCCCCACCTCCCCCCTGCCCTTAGCTGATTTTTCTGCGTTTATTTGACAGTCTGGGTTTAAAGCTCCTTGAAGGTGGGTTTCATATCTTCTATTTCTTGTGTCCTTTTGAATGACTGTTCCAGTGAAATACATATACAAATACATACATAAATACATCTCTAAAAGCAGTTAATTAGTCAAGAAAGTATTTGCTGAGAACACTGGCATCTTGACTTGTATTCACCTCTTCAACAATGTTGGAGAATACACTTTTTTCAAAAGAGACGGTCATATATAAAAAAAAAAAAGAAAAAAAACGGTCATATAGTTTTGTAGAGGAAGATAACAGTTAAGGGGGAAAATAACTATGGAAATTATTTTTATTACAACCAAATGCCGTCGCACCTCTAGGTTCGTGTATGTAACACATGCAAGCAGGTATGCGTATGCACGGCTTGCTTTTTGGGGAGGGGGAATCAGGAAATTCCTGCTAAAGCATTAAGAAATGATCGTAGACCCAGCGGACAGGGAGGCGGTCTTAAACCGGGGACTCAAGCTGCAAAACCAAAGCGCGCAGGGCTGCCTGCTGCCCGCGGGGGGCGGACACCAGCGGCCCCAGGCCGACACCCAGGCCACTGGCTGCGGTCCTGGCTGCGGTCCGGGAGCCCCCGCCCCCCCCGCCCGCGCCGGCTGACGCTATTTTTACCCGCAGCTCCGCGGGCCACCGAACCCGGCGCGAGCCGCCGCTGCCCCCGGCCGCCCGCCCCCCGCAGCTGGCGCCCCGCCCCGCCCCGGAGCCCCCGGCCGCAGGCCCGCCCCGCCCTCGCCGGCAGCCCGGGCTGCGGACAGCCCCTCCCGCCTCCCGGAGCACGCTCTCGCGCCCCGGCGCCCTCCGGCCGGCCCCACGGCGGGCCCCACGGCGGGATCCCGGCCTCCCCTGCCCCTCTGGCCCCCGGCCGCGGCGGGACTCCCAGACCTGCTCGGCCGCCGCCGCCGCTGCCGCCGCCGCCATCTTCCCGCGCCTGCGCACTGGACGGATGGGGGGGGCGGTTCCCAGCTCGGCGCCGCAACACCCCGCGCGCCTGCGCACTGGAGGGATGGGGGGCGGTTCCCAGAGCGCCGCCGCTGCATCCCGCGCGCCTGCGCCCTGGAGGGATGGGGGGCGGTTCCCAGCTCACCGCCTCCGGGCACCCCGCGCGCCTGCGCACTGGAGGGATGGGGGGCGGTTCCCAGCTCGTCGCCTCCGCCGCCTCCGCCGCCTCCGCCGCCTCCGCCTCCCCCCCCGCTGCGCCCCGCTGCCTGCGCCCGGCGCAGTGGCCCGGGTGCGCCTGGTTCCCGCGAGCTCGGGCCGCCTCTCCTCCTCCGGAAAGGGCGCTCCGAGAGGGGACGACGCCTCCCCCGTGGCCCTCCGTCCCTCCCCGCGGGGCTGGTGCGTTCCCGAGCTGCGACGTCCGCGGTGTTCGCTTTTTTGGTGGCTGGAGGTGTGATGCCACTGCCCTGTCTGCTCTACATCAGAACTTGGCTGTGAAGTTTAAACTAGATCATCTGATGCATAAGAAATCCCTCCTGAACGTTTCCCTTCTCTCTGGAGTTTGGCTGATGTCAGCAGCTCACTGGTCATCCATCTCTGTGCATCTTCTTTCCCAAATGCTGGAACCACCGACTCCCATCCCCGTGCTCAGCCCTGCCGGGCGCTCCGGCACATCCTGCGTCTTAGCTGGGACAAGTGACTGCAAATTGTAGCCCAAGGCTTTGGGAATCAGCAGTAAGTCTGTCTGTACTCTGGCTCTGCTCCCATTTATCAGCTCAGATAACAGGGCTTTTGATTGATCCTCAGTTCCTGTTTCCAGACCCGGGATCGAGCCCTGCATGGAGCCTGCTTCTCCCTCTGTCTGTGTCTCTGCCTCTCTCTCTCTCTGTGTGTCTCTCATGAGTAAATAAATAAAAATCCTTAAAAAAAAATACAAACCCGATCATGATATTCTTTGAACTTTAAAATCCTCCAATAACTTTTACAATGAAAGTCTATCTTGGCACTACAGTTCTGTACTTTTTGGTTCCCGTCTACCTCTTTCTATCCTCCTTTCCTGCCCCTTTACAAACTCATCTTCTCCCCAGCCATGTGTAGTATTTGTAGTTCCCATGTATTTGCCTGAGTGCGTCGAGTTCGTAATGTCTGTGCTTTTGCACATGTGGCTATTTCTCTATTTTATCTAGCTATTCTTCTACTTGTCTACCAGGACTCAGCTCAAGGGATATCTTTTCTGGGAAGCCCTTCATAATTTTTCTCCTCGTCCCAAATTTCTGATATCTCTGGCCCTCAGTAGATGTTACTGCACTGATTTGCTATGATGCCCTTTGAATACTTCATAATACACTATCGTGTTATTTTACTTTTCATGCATGTACAGTTTGTCCCAGAGTGTACTGTAAGTTCCTTACAAAGCAGTGTCAATGTGTTACCACTTCTGTGCTCCAAATCCTGAGCATACTATAGGATCCAAGTAAATGTACTTAATAATTCTGATGAATGAATGTTGGATTAGTTTTCTTCTGCTGGGTAAAAAATATTACTAACATCTAAATGTCTCTGATACATGTCCACTCTAATGCTCACCATGCATTACTCCATGGAAGAGCCTCAATAACTCTCAAATCTTGTCTCCTAAGAGCTCTTTCTGGGTCCAGCCCAGCTCCAAACTTCACCTCTACGAGCACCAACATGATATCAAAAAGACCATTTTTCTGTTTATAGCCCTGTGCTGCTTCCCCATTGCCTACAAAATAATGATCGACTTCAGCCTGATATACAAGACTGAATCACAGTTGAACCCAGGATTATCTTCCCAGTCTTGGCTCTGATTCCCTGAATTCCCTACAGTCACACTGGACTAGCATTCATCCTTCCCTGCCTCTCCATGCAATTTCATGCCTCTTTGCTACTGTCCATTCGGTTCCATCTCTTCCTGGTGAAACTCCTCTCCAACCTTCCAGATCTGACTCTAAATGTCACTCTCTTCTGTAACTTCCTCTGGCCCTTTCTTCAAGAAGCTAGAGGAGGGGGATCCCTGGGTGGAGCAGCGGTTTAGCGCCTGCCTTTGGCCCAGGGCGCGATCCTGGAGACCCGGGATCGAATCCCACGTCGGGCTCCCGGTGCATGGAGCCTGCTTCTCCCTCTGCCTGTGTCTCTGCCCCCCCCCCCGCTTGTGTGACTATCATAAATAAATAAAAATTCAAAAAAAAAAAAAAGCAGAGGAGGAAGTAGGGGAAGGGTAGTGTTTCCAGATAATTTTATATTTACTGTTACAACTTTCACATTGATCTATGGTTGTGTATCTCTTTTCTGAATAGATTATGAGATGGTAGGGAGCAGAGATCAAGTCTAATCTTGCCTTATGATTGTGGTAGATGTTTCTGTTGCCTAGAAATTCAGTAAATGTTTATCAAAAGTGATGACAAAACCTATTTCAACATCCTTCATGTTAGGGACTGCCCTCATGCTGTCCCAGGTCCTCTCCCAGGATGCTTAAGGACATCCTACAGTGTAGATCACACCCAGTGCACATTTGCAACAGCTTAAAATATCCTAAGTGAACCCCTTCTATGGCCATTTTCAGAGCCAAATATTTGCCATTGCATTTAGCTAGCAGAGCTGAAAACATTGAGGACAAGGATGCCTCAATAGTCCATCACAATGATAATTAAGACCTGGGTTGAGATAGGAGAGCTACCTTGTGGCTCTCAAAACTCACACTGAATTGGCTCCCCCCCCCTTCTTATCTGTATTTGCTGCAAAAGCTCTATAGTTTAGGTGCTAAGGTGATACAGTTGCGATATTAAAATTTTCCTCTTGTTTTTATAGTTTAACCAATAAGGGGCATGAAATAATTTTACAGAAAAATCCCGAACTGTTGCTTTGAGCAGGGAATGCTTATTGGTACGACACAGGAAACAGCATCCCTGCTTCTGTGCAGTGGGGGAACCTGTCTTCAGTTCAGATCCCAACCAATTAGTTCTTTCTCCAATGGGTGGTGGGGTTTTTTTTCTTTTGAAATCTTTTACTTTTTAAAAATATTTTATCTAAGCGAAAGCCAGCACAGTGAGGAGGGAGAAAGGGGGAGGGAGAAGGAGGCTCTCAGCAGGGATGGGATCATGACCTGAGCCAAAGGTAGATACCTAACTGACTGAGCCACCCAGGTGCCCCTTAAACTCTTAAAATCTTTTCCTTTCTTGCAATGTAGCAAAGAACAAAAAGGGCCCAATGAAGCTGATAAAATGAGTATAGGGAGCACTCAGACTGAAGAACACGAAGTAAATGGATAAATGAGCATTTTGCTACCTGCTAGTGGAGACAAAGCATCTGAGCAATACCACCAATGACAACTGGATTTAAAGGAAGCTTCATGCAAGTGGGTGAGAAAAGGTTAAAAGATTCTCTTCTGATGCCAATAGGCCCTACCCTAAAGGAGCAATGTCCTAACACAGACAGCTGTAGGACAAGAATAGCATGGCACACAGATTAGTATCTGGGGCACCGGTAAAAACGTCCAGGCCAGAGCTGAACAGAGTATTCTTGTAACCACACTGGCTAAGTGCAACTGTACTTAATGAGGAAGAAGTGAAAATCATGAGGATTCCACTGTATATCCTTGCAGTTTGTTGCATATATTTATGTTTCATGTAGTGTTGAACTACGTATATACACACCTCTCATGACACTGAGTGGGTTCAGTTAATCTTTTCTTGGTTTCTTAAAAATCTCTAACTAAAAATCTTTCCAGTTGACTGATGCAGGTAAAATTCAGAGTGGGCCAAATTAAGGACTTTTCCTATTCCGTCCAGACTTTTGTCACATGACACTTCTCTAGAACAAATGGCTCCTAGCTAGTGGTGGAATTATGATGCCATAAGAACCACCAACTGGCTGTTAAATTTGCTGTCTCTTGCCTCAACAGGATTATGACATCAGATATAAAGCAGCCAATCCTCTCCTCCTTTCTTTTTTTCTTTCTTTCACTTATTAGCAATTTGGTTCAACAAACTTTTATAGAGGGCCTAGAACGTGTCCGTTCCTATGTTGAGGAAAGCCAAATAAACCTCCCTCTCTTCAGGAAGCTTACAAGCTTATACAGGAGGCAGACAAATAAGTTTAATATAATGTGATAATTGCAACAATATCAACACCTCCAAAAGTGAGAGGAGAAAGAGCATAAACAAGAGCAGGGATGAGCTCTGAGAGCCTGGGGTAAGGGTGGGGGGTTGGAGTTAGGAAGATTTTGTCAGTTTTAGGTAGGTTTAAATTTATTAAAAGTGCAACTATAGAGAAACCCCTTGCTTATTTCCTGGAGGTTAAGTGCACTAGTTCTTCCTGCAACCCTGCAGGATAAATTGTGTGCAAGAATTGACCCAAGCTGAACTGTGAACCAAGAATTGAAATAAAGGGCACGATTTGCTCAATCTGAACTACAACCAGTATGTTAAAAGAAGCAAACAAAGGAAACAACCAGCATTAAAGAACGTCAGAAGTGCAAGAGATTGCTTAGAGCTGATCTAGTCCATGTTTTTCATTATGTAGATGGAATAAAAGTGAAGTTCAGGTGATTAAAGACTTCTGTAAAATCACAAGAAACCACTAATTGGCAGAGGGTGAGATAAAGCAAGAGTGTCCATCATGATCCAAGTTTATTGTTTTTTCAACTTCTGCAATATACTTTATAGTGTACCACAAAAGAAAATTTTGATTTTATCTTTTCTTTCCAAATAATTGCCTAGTGATAGTATCCTAAAAGAATCGAATTGAGACAAAAAATATTTTCCAAATAAAGCCTTTACTAATCTGATGTTTTCTTCCATCTGTATAAAAAAGTAAGCTTTTTTTTAAAGATTTTATTTATTTATTCACGAGAGAGAGAGAGAGAGAGAGAGAGGCAGAGACAAAGGCAGAGGGAGAAGCAGACTCCACGCAGGGAGCCCGATGTGGGACTTGATCTTGGGACTTGATCCTGGGACTCCAGGATCACGACCTGGGCCGGAGGCAGGTGCTAAACCACTGAGCCACCCAGGAATCCCCCAAAAGTAGGCTTTTAAAATAGAATCTCAACCTTGTTGGCTTCACGCTTGTGATGAGGCATATGGCTTCTTCTTTCATCCGCAACACAGACTATTATGCACTCCAGGCTTCAGCTCTCTCTTAAATTGATTGCTATCCAGCACCCAACAGAAGCTCTGTGGAGGGGACCATTATTAAGGGCACTTATGAGGATGTCCACTTATTCCTACCAGTATGGAAGTTCTAAGTTTGTTACTGGGTAGCATCACTAGAGAGCTAAGAAATGGGGTATCAATTGCTTGGCCCTCTCTTTGATGACATGTGTTCTAGTGTCACCCCCTCAGCATTGATCAAAGGTGACCACAAGAAACAATCATATCAAGACTCTTGCTGTATTTGGTAAAAAAAAAAAAAAAAAAAAAAAAGAAAAGAAAAAGAAAAGTGGGGGAGGTACACTGTCATCTGTATTATTCTAGGCTCTTTAGAAAAGAATAAGCGTATTTTGGAATTGGTACCAGGAAAATGTGTTTTCATTAAAAGAAGTGGTTGTGTACTTTTAAACTCAAATAACAATAATCATAAAAGTAATTTTCCTTTCTGCATTGGCTTCCACAAAGTCCAGGTTAAATGTTAAATGAAGCTCAATCTTAATACATAGGCTTACACTGGGGGCATATTTGCTTTTTGCACTACAAAAATATTTCTGATCTAACAATGATATTTTCTACAAGTGTTTTACTATAAGTTATCTCAGATCCTCCTTTGGAAGTAGCGGGGAATAAATAATGAATAAATATCTAAAACACTTCGTTTTGAGTCATTGTTGACTATGATGCTTTGTTATTGATACACGTGAAGTTCCTGCTACACATGGCGCACGTGCTCCAGAGTTCTGGGGAAACCAAGTGGCACACGAAATGACTCCAGGCCGTAAGGGTCTTGAATCCAGCTGTGGGGCTAGAGCATATGTAGAGATAAACAGTTTCAGGTAGCAAACTCAAGTGATTTCAAAGATCCATTCTATTCTAAGACTCTAAGACTATGCAATTAGTAATTTGGACATTTGGTCAAAGCACATTCTGTTTTGAGTCAACTTAATATTGATATTTGGGCTAACATTTTTCTGAAGGTGGTAAGATCCTTTGGGTAATTCTGCTTCTGAATAAGTTTTCATAAAAGCAATCAGTGTTCATGGTAGAAATTCGGAAAATCAGAAAAGTGTAAAGGAGCAAAGTAGTTGATAATCATGCTTCGGGTTCATACTGTGTAACAATATATATATAAAATTTAGTGTTCCTGCTTTTTTTCACTTAACTTTATAGTGAGAATTCCTAGATACTAGATATTCTTCAGTAACGAGATTTGTATTGTGCAACATTGAATTGAAGGATTTGCTCAACTGTCACTGTATTGTTGATTTAGATTGTTTCCAACCTAGTTATCACCATTAAATACAATACTGTGATCTACACTGTAGTAATACACTGCTAAACACTTCACAGGAATTTTTTAAATTTAGTCTCACAATAATCCTGTGAAGTAAGAACTATTGTTCCTTGTTTATAATGTAACCAAGGAGTAGCAGTTAAACAGCCCACAGCAAGGAAGAGGACTTAACCCCTAATCTGACATAAGCAAATACTGCATCTTGTTTTTTATGAATAAATAAGTAGGACTGCTCAAAGATGCCAACCGCCTATTGAAATATGCAATTATTAGCTCCAAATTAAGAGAGCTGTAGGATTTTTCTCCATCCCTTTCCTTCTTCTTAATATATTTTTTAAAGGAAGGAACTAATGAATACTTAGGTTTTCTGATTTTTTTCTCTTACTTTAGTGATTATTGCTCTACTATGATAAAATGTGTCATGTACCCTTATGGTCCTTATTGTTTTTGTTTTTATTGAGATATAAATGACAAAGGTAATTATATTAGTTTCAAGTGTACAACATAATGATTCAATATTTGCATATAATGTGAAATGACCAACACAATACTCCATCCATTACTACACATAGCCACAATTTTTTTCCTTGTGATGAGAACTTTTATAGTTCTTATTTTGTAGTCTACAGAAGATGGTAGCAACACAGGCTCCAGAAATAAGCCTCTCATTTTTACTGGAGGACAGTAAAACCACGGTAATGAAGAGAAATTAAAAAAAAGTGGTATAATTCTGAATATTATCATATTTGGACATGTGCAATGTTCATATATTTTCAAGTACCTAAAGAAATGGAACTGAATTAAACGAGCTGGCTACCTGAGGCTCCGATCCACTCCTGCTGTTTTAATGACTAGATAAGAACGATTTCCAATCAGCTCATCATTTGAAGCATATAAAATAAGGGCTTCTAAACTGCTTAATGATGGTTGAAATTGTTTCATTTCGTAATTCGTAAGCAGTTTAAACGATCACTGTGGCATTAACGCACCCTTTTGAAATAGTGCCAAACGGGGTCTGAAACTTTCACAAAGTTTGTTAGAGAATGAGAAGTAAGTGAAACTTGAGAGCGATCAGCGATCCTGAAACGACACCAAATCATGTCCAAACCCGAGGGATCACCTTGGATTTGTGAGCATTCCCGGAGCATCCAATCTACTGACTCGGGCACCCTGCAGATCCTAAGTATTACAAGGGAAGCACTGAAGGCCTGAGAAGTTAGAGGACCGAGGAAGGCGCCAGGTAGGTGCTAACCTACTGCCTAGGCGCCAAATAGGTGCTTACCTATTGCCTAGGCGCCAAATAGGTGCTTACCTACTGCCTAGGTGCCAAATAAGTGCTTACCTACTGCCTAACCAAACTGTCCCTGGAGAAACCACCTTTGCTTTTCCAGGCAGGAGGCCTCGGGGAGTCCCCATCCCACACTGCAGGCGAGTCTTGGTCCATCAAGGGGTGGAGTGGGCGCCCTCGGTAGTCTCGACACCCCGGCCCGGGCCACGCGCGGAGTGTGCGAGGCCTCGGGCAGCCTAGCCAGGGCAGCCTAGCCATCGGCGAGCAGGAGCAGCAGCAGCAGGAGCAGCAGCAGCAGCAGCAGGAGCAGCGCCAGGGCGCTCCAGGGCAGGTGCCCGGCCCCGGGGATGGGGGGTTGGGAGGTGGGAGGTGGGAGGCGGGGGGTGGGGGGGTGGGAGTTGCAGTCCCCGCGGGCCGCCGCGCCCGGCGTTGCCAAGGCTTGCGCAGTGCGCGTCCTTAGCAGCCGGCCGCCCACGTCAAGGTTTGTTTAATAATCGCCCGGTATTTGGGGGGCGGCGGGGGGGCTCTGGGCGGCCGCGGGGGCAGCGGCTGAGGCGCGGCAGCTGTGGCCCAGGGCACCCTGCCCCGTCTGACCCGAGCGGGGAGGATGGAAGCTCCCGCCGCGCTCTGAGCCCCCCGCCCCCCCGGAGAGAGAACACCCCTCCCGCCGCACCGGCCACCCGCCCGCTGTCCTGCGCTCGGTCTCCGCCGCCCAGCGCGCGGCCGCGGGGAGGAGGGAGCGATGGCAGAGAACCTCAGGAGGCTGGTCTCCGGCGAGCCGCTCCGGACCATGCACGAGCAGCTGGAGCGCTGGCGGACGGAGTACAGTGTGAGTCGGGGCGGGCGGGGGGCGCTCCTGTCCCGGCGGGGGCCTCCTGGGGCTCGCTCGGGGGGCCGCCCGGGACCCGGATGGCGGGGGTGGGGGGGGGCGCGGGGCCGCAGACGCCCCCCGGGTCCCAGGGCGCCCTCCCGCCCCGCCCCCGCGCGGTAACCAAGGACGCTGGCGGCCCTAGCAACGGGGCGCGTCCGGGTCCCCAGGTCGGAGCGCAGCCCTGGTCCTGCCTCCCCGCGACTCTCGGGGGCAGCAGGGGTTGTTTCGGGGTGATATTTTATTTTATTTTATTATTTTATTTTATTATTATTTTTAATAATAAATTTATTTTTTATTGGTGTTCAATTTGCCAACATACAGAATAACACCCAGTGCTCATCCCATCAAGTGCCCCCCCTCAGTGCCCGTCACCCAGTCACCCCCACCCCCCGCCCTCCTCCCCTTCCACCACCCCTAGTTCGTTTCCCAGAGTTAGGAGTCTTCATGTTCTGTCTCCCTTTCTGATATCTCCTACCCATTTCTTCTCCCTTCCCTTCTATTCCCTTTCACTATTATTTATATTCCCCAAATGACTTTTTATAAAAAATACCCCCAGATGGCAGTGACATGGACACTTGTCAACGTTGCGGGCTTCAGGCGTGTGCAGACTTCAGGAGGCCTGGGGCCAGGGCTTCTGCAGGAAGCCGGCGTTCTGGCATCGAACCCATAGAGCTCCTCAAGTCCCATTAATCCTCCACCCCCACCCCCGACCCACCACCACCACCACCACCACCCAGTGCAATTCAGTGTTGCATCTGCTGAGGTTGATCCGTGCGTCTTAAGCAGGGGAGGCGCAGAGGTTCAGCGAGTGGAACGGCGGGGCGGAGCGCGGGGCGCCCATGGCCCTGCACCCAGCCCCCTCCGCCACCGCGGGTTCTAGGGCCGGCGCCGCACCGACCCGCGGAGGCGCCTGCGCCCATGCATGTCCCCTCGGTGCGTCTCGGTACCTCGTCTGTTAAATAGGAGACACTCGCTCAACCAGATGATACGCGAAGTTCTTTCTCGGATCTCAAATTAATTTTTTTTCTTTCTTTCTTTCTTTCTTTCTTTCTTTCTTTCTTTCTTTCTTTCTTTCTTTCTTTCTTTCTTTCTTTCTTTCTTTCTTTCTTTCTTTCTTTCTTTCTAATTTAAATCCTCTTGTTTCTGAAATCCTACCAGGACAAATGCAACTGGATGCCGTCTGAGTCTCTGGGCTTCCGCATTCCCCCTTGGACCAGGGCCCCTGTGGTGGAGGGGAGCTCCAACAGCACTTAGAGCTTTCTCCTCGCCCCCCCCCCTCTAGTGCTGAGTATTTACCACCTCTGCCCACTTTTAAAGAATGAGCACTGTGGCTATTCCTTCCCCATCAAGATTACAGGACTGTGCTTTTTTTAAAAATTATTTTATTTTATTTTATTTATTCATGAGAGAGAGAGAGAGAGAGAGGTAGAAAGACAGGCAGAGGGGAAGCGGGCTCCACGCAGGGAGCCCGATGTGGGACTCCATCCCTGGACGCCAGGATCACACCCTGGGCAGAAGGAAGGTGCTAAACCACCGAGCCACCCATTTTTTTGTGGTCTGTGGTTTTTTTCTTTTTTTTAATTTTACTTTATTTTAATTTTATGAGATTGCAAGGAAAATTGACATTTACCTCCTACTACATCTTATAGCATACTCTTTCTATTTCTTTCCTTCCTTTTTTCTCCCCTCCTTCTTTCTTTTCTCCCTCCCTCCTCTCTTTTCCTTCCTTTCTTTTTCTTCCTTCCTTCTTCCATTTCCATCTTCCTTTCCTTTCCTTTCCTTTCCTTTCCTTTCCTTTCCTTTCCTTTCCTTCCTTCCTTCCTCCCTCCCTCCCTCCATTCCTCCCTCCCTTCTTTCTTTCCTTCCCTCCTTCCATCCTTTTTCTTTTTTTTATTTTTATTTTTTTATTTATGACAGTCACAGAGAGAGAGAGAGAGGCAGAGACACAGGCAGAGGGAGAAGCAGGCTCCATGCACCGGGAGCCCGATGTGGGATTCGATCCCGGGTCTCCAGGATGGCGCCCTGGGCCAAAGACCGGCGCTAAACCACTGCGCCACCCAGGGATCCCTTCCATCCTTTTTCTTGTTATTACCCTGTGACTTAAGTAAACTCTGAATGTTAAAAAGTACATTCAGTTTAGGGGTGCCTGACTGGCTCAGCCAGGAGAGAGAGCTTGGGGCTCTCGATCTTGGGGTTGTAAGTTTAAGCCTCAATTACTTAAAAATATAATAATAAGGTTTTTTTTTTTTTTACAAAAAATATATTCAGTTTGTCACAAGACCATGTTTAACATAAATGACACTACCATTTCGCGGAATCAAATGATTGTTTTAGAAACTACACATAAGTACTAAGACATGCCAAAGTTTATTACACTTCCCTTTCTTAGTAACAGTGGCCCATCTACAAACTATTTCAGTCTAGATTCTCTCCCCCATGCCAGGCTCATCCCCCCCACCTTCATAGAGAATGCACTTTTAGAGACCAATGCCTTTCTAAAAAAATCTGTGACCATTTCTCTGTATGGTCATTTCTCCTGGGCTGTCTAGTGTTTCTGTTGCATTTGGCTGTTGACATCTCCATTCTTCTAAGGCTCTAACAGTTTGTCTCCTTGCCTTGTCCACTTCCCTCCTATAGTAATTATTCGGGACTTTATCAATCTTCTCTTGGGCCTCCATCCTTGCTTCTCTCCCACATATAAGCCCATGAATCTCATATCTGTATTCAGGGCCTGTTCTCATCTGAGCTCACTTCTCCGATTGCCTTTTAGACATTTTCATTTGTGCTATCATCATCTCGAAGTCCAATCATTGTAAAATCTACCTTAGCTTCGCCCATGCCATGAACACTGGCCTCTTGACTTCACTGTCTTCATCATGACACACCTCACAACATGTTCACCTGCTTAATCTGTTGGCACCTACTTCAAAATGCACACAGAACCCTTTCACCACCTCTGCTATAACCATCCTTCCATCATCGTTCATCTAGATTATTATAAAAATATCTCAAAGTGATTCTCCTAAATGTCAAGTCAGATCAAGTTACCTCTCTGATAAAATCCTCAGACTTTCTATCCCACCTAGAATAAAAGCCAAAGTTCCTACAATGACTATCAAAGTCCTACACAATTGTGCTCCTTTAAACTCTGACCTCATCTGTTACTCCCTTAATCTACTGCGGCGATATTGGTCTTGTTGCTCTTTCTATTGGCAAAGCTGTCCAATAGAACTTTCTAGGATTGGACATGGTCTATACAGGCACTGTCCAACATGGTGGTTATTTGGTACTAGAATTGTGGCAAGTGCAAATTAAGGAACTGAATTTTAAATTTCATTTAAATTTTAAAAAGTAAATTTCATTAAAGTTTAATTAATTTAAACCCAAATAGTCACATATGGATAGTAGCTACTCTATTGGACAGAAGTCTAGAGCATACCAGCCAGTCTCCTGTTTCAGGACGTTTTGCACTCTCTGTTTCCCTCTGCCTGGAAAACTTTTGCTTGTGGATATTTAAGTAAGATATCAACATTTTCACTTTCTCTCCTCCTTAAGTCTTTGTTTAAATGTCACCTTCTCAGGAGAAACCACCCTGTTCACAATTACCATCTCCCACCCCTGCCGCTGGCACTCACTGTGTCCCTTTTCTGCTTTATTACTTCTGTGATAGCTACATCTTCTCATTTTTACTTATTCTTTTAATGAATTGTCAATCTTTCCTTCTCCTTTTCCCACTAAAAGGTAAGCTCCAGAGGGCCAAGATTTATCCCTTTTCCTGCTCATCACTGTATTTCCGGCACTTAGAATAATGCCTGCCTCCTAGTAGTGCTCAGAAAATAATGACTGACTGAGTGCCACCACCATTCTCCTAGACATCCGGGTTCTTGGACTCATTTCTCTTCTTAAAAACCTCATATCCAGTGTAGAATTAAAGATGATCCTCCAGTATCTTTATTTCAGCCTTTATTGAAATTGGAATTGAAACCAAAAGTCATGATTTCCAAGTAGGGGCACAATTGAGAGGATGCAAGTGTTTTTAATAGTTTTTGTTGTTGTTGTTGTTGTTTTTGGTGTGTGTGTATGTGGTGAAAGGCAGAGGATAAGAAAATATCTATAAGCCACCTACCAAAATTTAGGTTAGACTTATTTAGTAACTTGTCACCTACAGTGTGGGTTTTGGTCAACTGCTAAGATGTTTCCTGTAATACTGCAAGTTTGTTTTACTAGTTCCAAGGACTTTTTCCTTGAAATCTTAAGATACAGAATAGTCATTGTAGCATACTACATTATTAAAATGTTGGTTGTAGAGTTTTTTTCATTAAAAGCTTTAAATTATGTTTGTTACGGAAAGTTGATTTTGTTGACTGTGACCACACTGATTTAGTTCTAACTAAACTCAAGCAAAATAAAAGACCATAAATACTACACTAGAATTAAGAATGTGATTAAAATCATCCCCTTGGGAAACAATTTATTTTCAGTGAAAAAGATCAATAACTTGAATAGATTTAGTTCTAAAACACAATGCAAAATTTTCATTTTCCTTCATTTGGATTAACAGACCCTATTTAGTTTTTCTTCTTTCTGTCCTATAATTTCCTTCATATGGATTCCCATTTCCTCTGCCTTAATCTGTCCATCACCATCATCTTTTCATCGTGTCCTATGTATGTTCTCAGACACAGTAAATTTTTAAAAAATGTAATTTTCTGCCCCAAAGCTTTTGATTTTTATTTGTTGGCTGGATTTTAATCTTACAACATCTAATAATCTTCTGGGCCCTAGGCAGAACCACTACTTGCTTGATTTTTTAAAAAAAATTATTCATTAAAAACAAATTATGAGGAGGGATATTTTTCAAAACCCCACTAGAGAAACATAATAAATGCAACAGCAAACACTGCCAATTCACTTTCTTTTAGTTATTAAAGATGAATTATTGTATTACTTGGTCTTTA